AAAAAATCACGTTAATTTACATAAACTTTAGCTTTGATTTTCTCCTTTTAGACAAAGTTTATTTAAAAAATTACTTCGCCAATGAACTCGTATAAGATGAGTCGTGCTTTAAATAGTACATAAAACGTTTTATATCTCATAAAACACGACAACAAGTATTTTGAATAGCTTAAAATATGACTACAAAAGAATACTAATTAGGATGAACAATTATATAAATGAAGATGAGTTTTATCAGATATAAAGTCACTCCACGTGACATATTATGGCCGACATGATATTTTAATTTTCATATATTATAGGGATCATTTGTTGGTTTAAAGAATTTAGGTGCAACATGTTATGTTAACACGTTAGTCCAGGTATATACTGACCTATACTCTGCTATATTCTTCCTTCATTGAATGCGTCATTAGCGCATTGCGGCATTGTATAGGCCAGATGATCTTGATACGCGGAAAAGTACTGGCACTAGTTGTCAAATAGAAATTCATTTTGTGATTAAAACAACTGAATATCTCCTGTGATATACTTTATTTCGATTCCATATTTTTGTCAGAGCTAGAGTTCTCATAACCAAACATAATTACAAAATTTCAACTAGTTTCATAAAGAATAACGAAAGATATAATTGACTGAATACATCAAAATGGATTTCTACTCGGACAACCCTTTCTGAGCGCTGATTGGCTAAAATACGAACTCGTGATCACCTGGTAATTTATGCATGATACTTAGAGTGACCTCTTGTTTCTTCAATGATAAATTGAAGACAGAGAAAGAATGATTGTGTCATTTTTATAGGTTTGGTTTCATAACGAAGAATTTCGATCAGCTCTTTACTCTTGGGTTCCTTTGGATGGCGAGCCACCGAGTCCAGAAAAAGATCTTCCTCATGAAAACATGGAAATTGAACAGGGTCATTGTCAACTAAGCCACTTGGGTACAGTGGGTGGTAATTTCTTTCAAACATTACTCCACATGCACTTCTAACTCTGTGTTTTTCATTACATTTATAATGTTTATTAATTGGCAAGAGAATACCGGTGTCCCAAAAAAAAGGACACCATTGTGACCATTTGATTTCATGTAACGTAAAAGCTATATAAAAACTATCCCAATGAAATAAAGATCATTGCATTCAGACTAACGTAGATTTTGATATATAACACTTGAATTTACATGCGAGATACAACCAAAATAAAAATATTTATTATTTAACAAGTAGAACTACAGTGTGTATCAAAATAATTCGAATCCAAATTTGACAGACTGCTGTTTATAAAATACTAAAGTAAACCATATAATTTTTATATGGCAATAAAGAATAGCCTATTAGGTTTCCGATTATATCGTTCTTATATCAATAAGATCAAAAATGACCAAGAAATCGTGTGTTGAAACTGGTTGCTCGAAATCAAATTTTTCCGCCGATGGGAATTCGAAGTGAGACGTACAAACAAAAGATAATGCAAATTTAATTAATCAACAAACTGTTATGTAGCAAAATTTACATAAATTCGTGTTCATTTATAAAGAGATTTAAGCTCCTATGCCTTCAACATGTTGAACGAGAAGAAATTTGCGTTAAATTTGCATTTTAGTTTTCAATGATGATTAGCATTTCAAAGCCTTGTGGGACTAACTTTGAAAGAAAAAATGTCCAATTCCCATCGGCGGAAAATTGTGATTTTTATGGACTTTTTTTGTCAAAGCAATACTCCTTCATTTTCCAACTAAATGACGCGTACAACATGTCATTTGAAAGGTAAATAAATGAACTTAACAATGGTGTAAAAACCAACCGAATTTGTCAAATATATTCTGCGTTATTACACGCCAAATTTGGATTCGAATTATTTTGATACACACTGTACATCGGTAATTATATGAGGCTGTTTTATACTAATTTTCAGCATTAGTCTAAGTTAGTCCGTTTCTTTTGCTATATATCAAAATCTAAGTTAGTCCTTTCTGAATGCAATGATCTTTATTTCATTGTGATAGCTTTTAAAGCTTTTATGTTACACGAAATCAAACAGAGTGTCCAGTTTTATTTGACCTTTTAACCAAGCAAAATGAAAACAGCAGCAAATTCATGCTTAAATATTAATCCTTAAATTCTCTTATCATTAATTCAATCGTCAGGCTTGCACAGACCGCAACGTCATTATTTTTGTTTTTCAGGAGTTACAGTGAATGACAAAGACGACTGCACAGAACAGTCAGAAAGCAAAGAAAATAATGAAAAGCAAGAATCGGAACAGCCTGTGTCACAATCATGCGATCAATCTGACATGGATTCTGAAAAGATCAGTGTCAGCAAACCGGAGAACGAAAAACCTGAAAATACCGAATCAAGTAATTGAGCAATTCAATTATTGGTTTTGTTAAGTAGAAGCTGTTGAAATTCAGAACGAATTCCTGAATTGTACACTGTGTTCTAACTTATAACCTCCACTTGCTCTCCCTAGAAGGCAGATAAATTATCAAATTTTTAATAATTGACTTCAGTTTGTAATAGGCTTCACAACCTTCTTAAGACTGCCTGTATACAATTTATGACTTATAAAATGGATACAGGGTAATGTTCTAATACATTTAAATACTGTGTAAAGTCACCACTCTTCTTAAAACTCGTCACGAACAAATGAATGATTCCAGCTCATTGAACTATAAATAAACTGGAAGGCTAACTCAGGGGGGGGGGGGGA